ACCTTCCATCAGGGGGGCGGGTTAAGGTTTGGACTGAGCCAGAGTCTGCAGAACCTGTCCCACCTGATCGGCGGACATGTTTTCCACAGAGACGCTGCTCTCTTTACCAAAATCTGACAAAACACAAACAGCAGCTTCATCAATAAGTGGATCGATAACACAGCGATCAGCACCAACGTGTGTGGCCGCATCCCATCATGCCGTGCGGTGGGACGCAGCAGACTCACCGTAGCGGGCCCAGAGCCGAGCCTGGACACCAGAACACTCCCGGATCAGGATGGGGAAGTCGGGGTTGGACTTCTTCAGGGTCACGTAGTTTTGCTCCACAAAGTCTCTGAAACACACAGCGACCAATCAGCACCTGTAGGGAGCGGGGCCAAGCTCACCTGACACCAACCAGCCAATAAAAACAGTCTGAACTATGACACAGGAATTCAGGTGTGTTTCCATGGTAACTGATGCAGTGAGAAGCTCCTCCTACGGACCAATCAGCTCTCTGGAAAACATGAGCAGCGTCAGAAGATCCAGAGATTTAGTGATTTCCTTGTTCTGCCTTCACCGGTGATGTCATCCTAAAACAGAACCCGGCTCTTTGAAATAGAACCTATTTCTGTGAGACGCCGGTATCAGTAAGAACATCCATCACACTGTCAGGACGTCTGGTCCTTTGAGTCATTTTGTTTTCAGCCTGGTTCACGATTTAAACTTCTCTCACTGGTTTAGGATCACAGTTTGTTCTTCTTCTCAGAAAAATATAAAGTTGTTCACAACTTATTACAACCTTCTGAGCTGAAACCAGACGTTTACATCGTCTGTATAAAAGGACATGAAACCAGTTTGTTCTCACCGTCTGACATTAAATCAGACTAAATTCTTCCTGTTTCAGCTCAGTCAGGATCACCAACATTATTTCTGTTTGCTAAACACCAGAATAATGAGAGAGAGAATGTTTTATTACTTGATCTTGACCTGATCACCAACAGATAATCTGGATAAATTAAACCTGATCACCA